GTTCTCTCTGTTGCTGGGCTCTACTCCCTTTGGGTAAAAATTAGAGTAAATAGTGACTGGAGGTTCATCTTTCTTTGTGAAAATTATTTATGTTTAGAAATTTTGTTTTCTTAATTGACTTTTGTGTCACCTCACTGTACTCTGAATACTACATTTTAGTTTATTATGTGAGTTGGTACATTCAGTTTTATTTTCGACCAATTAAAGTTGGTTAAATTGGGGTTTAGAATGAATTAGACATCTTTTTAAAAAATGGTCAACTTGTCTTTCTCTGAGCTACTCAAATATCTGTGGTTGAACACATAAACTTATGCTATTTCTTAGCTGTTTCATGTATGTAATTCAAGAGTCATCAATAAAACTCATTATGTTCTCTACTTATTTTATGTTTTCATAACACATATTAGGATCCTAGTCAAATGTTTTGAATTGCTGCAACATATACTGTAATGTGTTGTTACATGATATATGATATATGTTACACATATCATATGTAACATCATATCATATGTTACATATAACATATGATAACATGATATATGTTATACTATAGTCGATTTACTGCACAGACTATTTTATTTAACAATCTAATAGAACAAACATGGTACGTTTTTATTACGTGCTGTTATATACAAATTATTATTACCTGGCAATGATTTAGACCACTTGACTACTGAAAGAAGTTGCCTCTCTCCTAGTTGATTAAGACTGGTCAGCAAAGAACTGGAGGTATCCGGTTTTGTGTTGTCATGTCCTGCATAGATCACGTCCGGTTCAATGTTCATTAACAGGTTGATCAGTGGTGGGATCAACTGTAATTCTTGATTTGGTGAAAAAGTGATCCTCTGGCTTAGGGCTTGGCTTTCACTTGAAATGCCCACTGGCTGTGGGAGAGCAACAGCATCCAGTGATCTCATAACTCTGACTTTATTGAACTTTTTAAACTTTCGACCTATAGAGAAGGAAAAAAATGTAAATATACATGAACTAAATCTCCCAGAAGAATATTATTTTTCTTAAGTCTTAGAATCATAGCATTATAGATTTTAGCAACAATCTAATAAAATGAAAAAATGTTAGGTATAAGACTTAGATTAAATAATTAAGTACATCACCATTCATTGGGTTGGTGGAGTGTGGATAATTACACCAGTGTGTAGCTGGGGGTTATGGGGCTTTGTATGAAAAGATATAAATGAAAAGACAAAGAGCTTTTAGTAGAGACAATGATTAGTATTGGTCAATATTCTTTTTCATTTGTTTCTAACCTTTTATTTACTTTCCTTTTTTTCATTTTAATAGAGTTAGGGGATACAAGTTTAATTCCATTATATGTATATACTGTATAGTGGTGAAGTTTGGGCTTCTGGTGTACATTGTACCCATACAGTGTACATTGTACCCATAGATAATTTTTCCTTCACCTCCTCCTAGTCTCCCCCATTTTGAGTCTCCAATGTCCATTATACCACTCTCTGCACCCTTGTGTAGCCATAGTTTAGCTCCTGCTTATAAGTGAGAACATGCGGTATTTATTTTTCTGTTCCTGAGTTACTTCACTTAGGATAATTGTCTCCAGTTCTATCCAAGTTGCTGCAAAAGACATTATTTCATTATTTCTTATAACTGAGTAGTACTCCATGTTTTGTGTGTGTACATGTTAATATATATAAATCACATTTTATTTATCCACTCATCAGTTGATGGGCACTTAGGCTGATTCCATATCTTTGTGATTGTGAACTGTGCTGTGATAAACATGAGTGCAG